ACTGCTCCTCCTCAGCCCACTGACCCTCCTCCTTCTCCTCCGGCTGAGGAGACCGCTGAAGTCGAGCCTGCTCCATCTGAGGCAGACCTTCAACAACAGTCGGATGCTTCTGAGCGTCCACAACGCACTCGTCGTCGTCCTGCTCGATACGACGATTGACTCTGACTTACCTTCCCACGTCTTTGACTTCTCAGTACTCCATCCACATCAGTTTTGCTACTTCAGCTCGTCGACGCTGCGGCTCTTCCTCGACAGCATTCCGGACTTCTCATCGTGGACATCATTGGGAGCTTCATGGACTTCATCACGATCAGCTCGGCCTACTTAAGACGTCGCCACTCTATTACCACTCTCCCCTTTACAGTACCCTGCTTGTGTCGCATGATGGTTTCCCTTTAGCCGGGTTCCTCTGAGTTGGGCTCTCCCTTGGTATACGCATAGGCATCGGGATCGTAGCGTTGCCCTGGCTTCCCATCTTACGGATCTAGCTCCGACTTCCCTCACTTTAGGAGTCATTTGCATGATTCCCTTACCCATCATCTTTCTACCCTTCGCCGGCCCTCACGCCCTAGTTAGGCAGCCCCGCATGCTTCATCTAGGTGCGCCCAGTATACCAGGCTCCCTTATTCCCATGGTCGACCCTCCATAGCGATCACCCCTTAGTCGAGCATTACCCGCCCTGATGGTCTATCTGTTAGGGTCATTGGTTCTGTTCGCTTTCAGTTCCCTACCCTCATTGAGCCTGATGACATGTGTCTCCCTGTTATCTATGTGTGGATGCCCTTAGGAGTTTTCGACCCCTCAGGTTGCATTTGCCACCCTCAGAGACCATCCCACCCTTTGGTTTGCGACACACTTCTCATGTGACATATGATTGACTTGTTGTTGCTTTGTTGCTCTCAGACTGAGGCTACTGCCTCTGACATTTCTAGGATTTAGTTGTTCTGCTTTTGCTGTTCTTAGGACTTAGACACTGGTCAGCTGTTCCCAGACTGAGGCTACTGCCTCCAACATTCTAGGATTTAGTTGTCACTACTTTCTGCTTTCCTAGGACATGTATGCTAGTTAGTTGCTTTTGCTTTCCTAGGACATGTATGCTAGTTAGTTGTTTTTGCTTTTACTTAGGCTGTTAGCTGTGACATTGTTGTTTAGTGACATTTTATATCCTAGGTTGCATCGCATGGACTCGGCATGGAGCTTGCTCTGCATCCTAGACTACTCAGGTTTCTTTTCTTTGGTAGAGTTCCGCTTTTTGGCTAAAGTGTGCTTGTATCTAGGCGATCCATCACAGGCCGAGGATCATGTAGCGGACCTCCGGTGGGCCTGTTAGACCAGCCCCTTGGCCTGTTCTCACAGGCCTGTGTTTTATTCGGGGCAGTCCAGTCCAGGCTGGTACCTCCGTCGGTACCAGCCAGTCCAGTCCAGTTCCGTCAGTCCGCTGGGGTATACCCCAGCCTTTGTCTGTTTTCGAGCTCATTCTTCACTTGCACATTTCTGGAGTACGTGCGTTGGAGTCTCGCGTGGGGAGCTGCGTTGTGCCATCTCGCTTCCCCCTTCTTCCTCCATCTCCATCTCTACCACTAGCGGAGCACCACACCTGGTGGGTCCGCTACAAGCAGTCCCCTTGAGGCCCGACAGGTGGGCCGGTCCAGTATCAGGCTGTCGGCCTGATCCTGGTCCGGTACCACTAGTTTTTCCGGTACCTGGACCTAGGCTGGTATATCACTCCCGCCTAGGCCGAGGTCTAGGGTTCGAGTCTCTTTTCGGTTTGGATGTTCATTCATTCATTCGGTCGGACCATCCCACGTTCAGATGCGGCCTCCGTGTGTGTCCACCTTTCTCCTTCTCTCTCATCTCCATCTCCGCACATGCACCTGGCACATGCGTCACATGCACTACTTGATGACACACAGCATCTGCAGACAACGGCTGAATTGCACAAAATCGGGTGAACCGCAGAAACGGCCTTCCTGGAGAATCTCAGAGCAAGGGAAGAGACACGCGGCAGAGACTGGCAGAGGAGCAGGGAGACAGCATGGAATGGGAGGAGGAAGAGGCAGCCAGCGAAGGCACCAACACTTCTCTCAAGCGGAAAGCACAGTCGGAGGACCCAAGACAGGAGGTGCAACAGGGCAAGCGGGCACAGTCCAATGGCTCGGGCTCACGAAGAACCGACAGGGAGACCCAAGCCTCGCACTCCCAGCAGACCTCGTAGCAATCAAATGGCGACCAGGGAAGTGGCTCCGCAGGGAAGAGCTCTCAGACCACTGATACTATGAAGATCTGAATGGCAGGCCTGTGCGGATTTTTTTAATAGATGCAAAGCATTGACTCCCACTCAGATATTTCAAGCCTGGAAATAAAAAATTGAGTAAATGAAGCCGAGCCATTCTTCCTCTCATGACACCTGCCTGTGGAGAACGCCACATCTCTCTTTTCTCAGGCGCAACTACAGACAGTGCAGAGAACGGATACCAGAAAAAAAAGGAAAAAACAAACAAAAACAAAAAACAAGAGACCCGCACACGTTCTTGTACACTCCACCAAAGGTGTCCGACTTGTACTCAGTGCTGTTTCTCTCCTTCGGGTCCAGGTACATCTTCATGATCTTTGACCCATCAAGACGGAATTGGACACGCCTGCTCACAATCAAAGTAGGGTAGACGAGGTTATCCAAAATCGCCTCATGGACGGCTGTCAAGGTTCTGTTCCTGGGCCTAGCTACCCAGATGCCCCTCTTCGGCAGCTGCATGATCCTTCTCGTTGCCACAATGACTACATCCTTTCCACTGAAATTCTTCGCCAATTCTCGCACAAGGTGCGCATGAATCTTCTGGAAGGCCTTGCAAGGCCGACAGGGCACAGGAATGATGATTGCTTTCCTGTTCTTCGAAATGTTGAATAGTTACAGAAAAAAGTCAAACTTCCAATCTCCCATCTCTCTGGCCAATGCAGATCACCACCTTCCATTAGGTCTGCTTAACAATAAATAATAACCACAATTCCATTAGGTCCTTGGAGGGTTTTTAAGCTAAAGTCTTCTCACTGAGTGACGCCAGTCAGACGATGAAGAAGTTCAGGAGGCCGGAGGAACCGGACTGCTGCTCCCTGGATTGGAGCTCTGGCCATAAGACTTACACCACCACTACCTCCTCCAGACCTCTTTTTCCCTGATGGATATGTGCGCCAATCCCAAAAAGAACCCATGTGGCGCTCTCTTTTTGCCTTTTTGGCTGGTGCCGCCAGCCAAAAAATCCCGGGAGGCTGAGTGTTGCATACTCGTGAAACACAGTCATAAGTATGGCGCAGATTCCCAGAACCGACCAGAGAATACATAGTTGATACAAATACAGCGGAAGAGTTGATACCCATGGACTGACTCTGACCTGACTCGGACTGCAATCGAACACTCTCAATCATACATCGGGGGTGTGAAAGCCCTGGCCGTAGACATAGATGAAGGCCAGGGTCTGAGATCATCCACGGACGAATGGAGGGAGGAGAGAGACGAAGGGAGGAGGAGAGGGAAGATGACGTCAACTCAATGTTTCCAAAGATAGTATCTTGAAATGTCAGAAGTGACGAAAATCCGAAATGTCGCGAATACCATGTCTCACAATGTCTCAGATATCGATCTCACAATGTCAAGTACATCTCCAGAAGGAAGATGAAATCAGATTCCCAAGTATTCCTCAACCTGTAGTCCCAATGTCGCTGTTCCCAATGTTATCAGAATTCGTAACCATCCTTCACACTCCTAGTAGTCCCGTAGGAGAACTCAGAAGTAGGCTTAGACTGAGAAGGTAGGAGGGGAGCGAGCGAGCGAGCGAGAGAGAGAGAGAGAGAGAGAGAGAGAGAGAGAGAGAGAGAGAGAGAGAGAGAGCAGGGGGGTGGAGGAACAGAGGGAGCGAAGGTGAAGCCTTCCTCCCTGGTACCTGAACCGGTAGCTATGGCGCGGCAGGGCCGCTGCGCTGTTCCTTCTCGCCGCTGCGCTCGTCGTCGCCTCGCTGCTCACGTTAACGCTGCTGCGCTGCGCTAATCTCCCTAACGCTGCAAGGCTGCGCTAATCCTGAAGACTAACCCAACCGTACTGACTTCTAACCTCCCCACTGAGGCTGGTTACCCAGCCTTTTGTAGTGTTGGGCCGGTGTTGCATACTGTAACGGTGCAGACCAGAACAAGAACCGACCTCTCTCACAAAGTACAAGATAGCGTAGCGGAAGACTTAGATACCAATGATCCGAACAATCAATATTGCAATGCAGCCCCGAACATACATCATCATCATCACTCTATGGTGTGAAGGGGTCTGGCGCTCACACAGGAAGAATGCGCTCGCCCCAACCATACACAGACGAAGAAGAGGGGGGTTAGACGAAGAAGAGGGGAAGATGGGAATGTCGTCAACACCAAGTCTTCGGCACAGTCCCAAATAGTCCCTCGTCAAAATGTCTGAATCCCAATGTCGAGTCTGGATCCAATGTCGTCAAGTCTCAAGTCACAACTCTCTCTCTCTCTCTCGTAGTCTGCAGATACCGAGAAGTCAGATAGGGAGAGGGTGAAGAAGAGATGGTGGACTTAGAAGAGGAAGAAGAAGAACTCTCTCTCTCTGTGTCCGGTACTAACCTATGAAGCTGGCGCCTTGATGTAGGTACCTCGAAGATGGAGCTGGAGCTATGGCACCACAGGTAAGTCTCGCTGGCCTCCGCCAGCCATCTCTCTCCAACACTACTACCACTACCCTACTTAGCGCCCTGCGCTGAAGACTACTGCAGCTAATAGCGCCCAGCGCTGAAGACTACTGCTAGCGCTAAGCTACTCCTGCAGCGCTCCTCCAGAGTGCTGCTGCCGAATCCTGAAGACTGCCTCCTGCCTTCTGTCCAACTACCTACCCGTGAAGTGCATGGGAACTCCCTATGTA